TGTATGTATAGCCTTTCACACTGTATAACAAAGCACATTAACAAAATTCCCTCATTTGGTCACATTTACATGTATGTTTGCATTGACGGTACTGCAATATTTTTCGAGCAGTGGAGTTAGAGGGTACCAGTGAGTGTCCAGCCATACGAGCATGCTTTGATAAAAGTTTCTGCAAACATTTGTGCATAAATTCGGCGACAGCAAAATATTAAAGGCCTATTGGAGTCTGCAATGATCCATCCAAACGATCCATGCAATGAAGAAGCAGAACCCACATCATTTGGTGACAGGGATGCACTTTCACATTCATGAAATAATATCTCTGTATTTATGAAAATGATGCAATTTCAATGGACATGACCAGTGTTTTCAGCATGTGTGAAAGGGCCTACAGTACAACAATTACTATATGCAATCTTTGGTTTCTGAAAATGACAGTTTACAATTACTGCACAGCTGATACGTCAGGGTTGGAGCACCTGCATTTCTTTCAACCAAGAAAAAAAAGTCAAAACAACTTTTGTAACAAATAATTGAAAGTTATAAGCATAGTTACAAAACTTAAACCAAAATGGCTTGTATCTAACTTGAGTAAAACTTCCACAAAGACTCACGCAGTCACCATACACGGTCAAAACTTGTTAGTAAGAGCACGGTCTGTACAACTTTCTGCTTATAACAAGGAAATATTGAGGTCCCAACCCTTTTCATTGTTTTTATTCCTGATAATGCAAGGTTGCTGTAAATAGCAAGGTAATCTGCCAAGTCTGTAGGACCTCTTATTAATGAGGTTCAACTGTAATAATACAAAACTCAAGACTTGGTGGGACAACAAACCCATCAGGTATTGTGAAGCCCAACAACCAACTTTTCAGTCAGGCTAACCCCTGCCCTTCATCGCAGCATAGGATCACAGCATGCAGATGTCTACCTGTTTATGAAACCAAGCACACCTGGCCACACAGACCATTAGGGTGCAGACAGGTGTGTGCTTGGAAGACAGACAGCCCATCAAGGTCAAGCACCTTGGGCTCTGCCAAGCAGTGGCAAACTGACTGAGCAGCCTCCAAGCACAGACAGAGAGGCATTAACATTCCGATGTTACCTCAGTGAGAGGTGAGGCATTCCAATTTAGATTAGTGTTTTGTTACCTACCTTTGTAGGGAGTTGACACCATGATTGTGAATTTTTATCGAATTCATTTTTTTTTTTTCATCTCAGTGGGGGACATAACCAAATTGCTCCTGCAATACCGTTGAATATATGCATGACATATGAAATGAAAAAGAAAAAAATCTTTACAAAAAAGCAAAAGCTTTGGTGTGCCGAATCAGCTACTGATGTCAAGTTTAAAACAGGGTATACCTAACATACTTAGAAATTCCTCACAGGAAGGGCACTGATTTTGCACTTATTGAAAACAATAAATTATCCTTGAAAATACAAATTACTGTAACTGCAACTTTAGTTGCTATCAACAATGAAAAAGTCTGGGAACTCTTGTTGCAAACTTTTTTACATCAGTTTCTCCTGTTAAAGTTTAAGTAATCACTAACCAAAAAAAATTAATTAAAAAATCATTTTGGAACACACAAGACTGTAAACACTTGCACATACAATGTACATGTGGGCCTACATGTTAAGTTCTCTACCGGTATGTACATGTAGGCCTACATATATCTCAGGTACATGTACACGTACATGTACATGTAGCTTGTTTTGGGTCTTTGTGTCATACAAATCAAAGATTCTCTCTCCACTATTCCCACATGTATACAACATCATAACTTCTTGTGAGTGTGAATGTTGGAATCTTGGGTGAAGTCTCATTTCTGAAATAACTTCCCACCAGCATAACACACTCAAAGTGATAACAGGAACACTGCCATTCCCCCCCCCCACAGTACAACACAGGGGTGGGACTGACAAGGTAGCCTGGCAATGTAACATGTTTAAAAAAAATCAGACCACTTGCCTTGCCAGATATTGAGATATTGCTCAATAGCCAAAAAACATTCTTCTAGTCACCTCTCTCCCTGGGGGCCCTCTTAGAGGCTCTGCCTGGGGCCAGTGTGGGCCCCAAAAAGTTCACAACTCCTACATGCTAATCCATAAATAATAAAAAGCACAAGCCTACACAAGGCATGGCACCACACCAGCTTGTACCACAGACCTGTGAATGATCCAGCGGCTTGTTTATTTGTCATGAGGTGATCCCCTTGACAGAGCTAGTTATGTGGCTCGGCTCCCTCAGCCAAGGTGCTACTGACTGAAGAACACATACTGTACTTCACTACTCAGATTAAACTTCAGCAAGACCATGCCATGGACAGTGATACATGTACATGGACAGTGATACATGTACACGTCATTTTAACCTGCATGTCATTAAAACAGTATCTTCAAAATGACTTGCGTACACCTACTGGTAGTCCAATAATGACTGACTGATTTTATGTTGATGGATGGACCATTCTTATAAAGCCCACTTCACACTGTCTCTGATTGGCTAATTGGCTATCTAATGTTACAGGTATTTAATATCACTTGTTCAATTTGGATTAGTTGGTGTTTCAGAGAATACATAATTAAACCAGTGTGCACAATTTGCAATTTTTCAAAATTGGCCTATTTGGGGGTTTGTGGTTTACTTTGTCTATTATTATACGAACTTGTTTTTTTTTTATTTCACTGCTTTGAGAAAAATCAAGTAAAAAACACTATTCATTTTTATCACTCAAAGCACACCTAGGGTAATTTATCTCAAGTGCAAATATCCATAGGCAACAAAATGTTCCCGAGTGCCTGGATAATGCACAGCTGAGGTTGATCTGTAAATCAATTATGGCCCTCCAAAAAAGCATTTTTCCATCGCTTCAAGTATTGCTAGTGGTTGGCAAATTTACCTTCGAGTTTGTGTCTCCTCCTTATTGTGAAACAAACAACACTTCATCATGCGGTCAAGTGACTGCAGTCACAGTCACAGTGCAATTAGTATACAAACACATGCATGATTGACCACTAAGTCATGGTTTATCACAGGTACCTCAGACAAGTACCATCCACGATGACCAGTGTTGTAGTCGAGTACTTTGTTCCAACTGCCGAGTACTGTCTAAAACATACTTTTCCGAGTACAAAAAAGTCTGAGTACCTTGCTAGCAGACTACAAGTATTGGTTTCCAAGCAAGAGTATTTGTACTTCAGAATATGAGTACATGTACTTCCGAGTATGAATACTTGTACTTACAAGTATGAGTACTTGTACTTTCCGAGTATGAGTACTTGTATGTCCAAGTACAAGTACCAGTACGAGAACGTGTTTCTAATTCACAAAACAACAAGCTGCGCCGTGGCGCGAGTCCAGTTTTAACAACTTTTTGGTACTAATTGAAGTCTGCTTTCCAAACTTAATTATTCTTTTGCCCGTGTTTGCCAGATGTGTCGTTGGAATTTTCAGGTCTCGGTTCTAGACTAGCAACACCCACAGAAACCTTTAGTTTCAAACCAATCCAAATTTTCCTTCAGCCAAGTAATTACGACTATACATATATTTTATCCCTTAATAATGTGTTTAAGGGTACTGAAGGTGCAGTTACAGCTTTCATTCTTACTTGTTAATATAGAATCCTCTAATACTAGATGTATAACACACAATCTTGTTCTACCCATCAATGGTAGCAGTATTTAAATGAACTGCATGTTCCAAAGATCATCTATTGCAACGATAGGTGGAAAAAGTATAATGTATCTGTTTTCTCAAAAATGATAGCATTCCAAATGGGAAGATTTTGCAGATTTACTTACATGTATTTCACAGTAAAATATTTAAAGATAATTCAACGGTCCTCTTTTTGAAATTGTACAGAATTGAGTACACTGAAGTGTTATAGCAATGCCGTTGCTGCTCAGGGATCTGCACCACAGCGCTCTACCGTCCGGCACTAAGCTTAATGAAACAGCCCACTAACTGGCACAAAAATCCTTAAAAATCCCCCCAAAAACATTAATCACAATGAAAATTTCATATTTTTACCTGGTAGAATTAAATTTGAACTCTTAATCAGTTTGGAAAGAAAAACTCACTGAAAAAGCGATCTAGAGTCCCCTTAAGTGCCCCTCTCCCCGACTCCGGTCACTTCGCATGCCATTACTAAATTGTCCTGCACTAAAATATGGCCGACAATAACACTGGTACACTGCCTTTTAACTTCCACATCCTTTTTGTTACAAACCTTCATGAGTTCACCACAATACAGCACTGACTATGGTCACTGTAACCCAGTAGCATGTTCCATGCATTTTAGCAAAACTCAAACACTAATAAAAATGAGGAAAACTGGGGCACCGATTCTTGTGGATGTGGGTTGCTAGCCCTTAGTAAGCCAGAATGATTGAAAAAAAAATCTTAACCATGATGCTGTTCAATCATTTACACTGGATCAGTCAAGTGAAGAACTGTCTTGTCGACAACTGATCAATCAGTTAATCAACTGCATAATTAATCAATTAAAAGATCAATGATATGATGACTAACAAACTGAACAAAGGAATGGTATCCTTGTCCTGATTACTTAACTTTTGAACTCAGAAAAGCAAATACTGTACATACCTGCCAATAAATGAAGCTCCAGGGGCCCTTAATTTGGCTAAGAACTGTCAAAATATCTTGGTTTGATTGACTGGACTGCAACATGGTCAACAGCAAGTGACCATCATTATCAGCAAGATCAACCTGTTGGCAAAGGAAGAGTAAAAGACTGCTTGGTGGCTGTTGGCATGTTTGGAGTTTGGGGGTCTTACATGTACCTTGTTTCATAAATGAGGTACATGTACTGGTAAGTCACATAGGGAGTATTGGCCCTTTTTGTGTCATTTGACCACAATGTTCATTGCCATTCCACTGCAATTTCTCGTATGACTTTCTGGAATTCAGGAACACTTTTTTGGATACGAAAAATGTCACGATAGGGCTGCAGCTAACTTGTTCCACACAGTGGGCAAAGGTCTCCACAAAGTGTTTTTCCTGTCATTTGGTGCATTTTTTACCAAGTTTCAGATGGTTGGACATGTAGGACAAGCGGCTGAAATGGTCATTCACCTTTTTTCCCCAGCTAATTTTACTGACCTTGATTCCAGCAAATATCTCTCCATTCCACATCAGCACATTGCCATCAGAGTCTTCCATGGGCTGGGATGTCAGTGTTCCTCTCTGACGAAGAACATGTCCAGTGAAGAATGCATGCAACTGCTGAAACTGTTGGGAATGATCTATCCTCCTAACACCAATGGGTTTGAGGAGGTCATTAGAGCAGTCAGGGCCCCTCAGTATCAGGCTCTTGTACAGCTGAGAAAGTTATCAAGACATCATAGATGTAACTCTCACAAAGGAGTGAGGCAATTTAAGTGATTCCAATAGTGGGGTTTTACTTGATTGAATTATCGATGATATTGGAAGGATGATCTTAATCAAAAGGTGAATACATGGTTAATAATGGTTAAAAATGGTTAAAAATCACAAGTCGATTACACTGTACTACTGTACATGTAAATAAATGTCTTGCAAAATATTGAAGTCAACAGTGGCTAAAATTTTACTTTTTTGGCTACCGGTATGTTTCAACAGCAACATTTTTTCTACCTAATACATGTACATGTAAGTCTGTTTAGTGAATGTCTGTGTGCACATTTGACTATGGTGGTCTACTGGTATATCTGCCATCTCACATCTCACATGGATCCCACATACAGTGTACTGTACATGTATGTTGCATCTCAGATTTCACATTTTTATATGTAAATAACAGTGACACCCTTCCAATTATACATATATATGTATTCAAGTTGTGCCAAAACTTTGGTATATAATGCAGTTGTATAGAAATCTACTTTTTAATAATGAGATGTTAAAACTTATTTGCAAATAATGTAGTTAAAATGTCATTAGTTACATATACATGTAATGAAAACTGACATTTCTTTTATATGTAAATAAATTAGATAGAAAACTGAATTATATATTTACAGAAAGATAACTAACTACTGCTGTTAAAATAATTTATTTACACATGGTACTTCATAGCCATCTTACTTAACAAATTTGATACAGTGAATAACAATTAATATGAGAAATGAAATCGGAGATGGATCTGTCATCACTAAAAGACACAATTGCACATAACCAAAATCACCTCTTTCTTTAACAGTGTTGAGAGTCCAGAAATGAACTTTAACAATTGTACTGATATTTGTATAATTGTGGAGATATGGTTTACACAGTTTAATAGGATTTGGTTGTTCGTTGTTAAAATAATCATTATTTTGATGAAAATGTCCAGCTTACTTTAGGTGTTTTGGTGGGACATGCACATAACTGTGTCAATTCATGTTTTTCAGGTTATCTAACATACCACTTTCATACGTCACGGTGTCTATCCACAGAATGACAAACATGAAACAGGCTGATTTTGCCATTTCTTGAGCAGATAATCTCAACAAAAATGTATATCTTCCTGAGAAAAGATATAACAATAATACTTTACATAATATTTGTGTTTTTTTCCTATCAGAGGACAAAGCTAAGATTTGATTTTAGGAATTGCAAGTGTTTTTCTACTTTTTTATAACATTTGTCACAATTATTTTTCCCTCTAAATGTAAAAATCACAAAAGACTTATAAATCTGTATGAGTACATATACATGTACACTTATTACAAAACCAAATTAAATAAAATAACAATTCATCAGAAAACATCGGTTTATTGTGCTGAAATGAAAGTGAGAAGACTGTCCATGTGACATACAATATATCTGTCCATTTGACAAACGTGATGTCTGTCCAGTGATAAACGTTACATATTTTTCTTGAAATAAATTTCAGTGTTACTTTACTTTTCTGAGAAAATGAAAGTTTCTAAAAGTATTCTAAAAAGACTATAATTGCAGGTATTTTCAATTGTGTTATGAATTTAATTTTCATATTTAAGAAACAAAGTGTCTGTCCATGTGACAAACGTTACATATTCAAGAATGAATTCTGTAACTTCTTAAATATTGCTCAATTTATCTTTACCTTTCTGTGGCAACAATCAGAAACAGTGAAGACATAGGCAAGCAAAAAATAATGGCAAACTTTTACAGTTGGGACTTGTATTGAATGTGATGCAAATGTGTCTTTTAGTGTGGACAGACCCAGATGTAAGATCCAAAAAGCAAGATGAAGGATCTGGGATGCAAGATCCAAGACGACAGATACATGTAGAATGCACCACGTATATGTATGTGACGGCTTGTACGCTTTGTGTAGACCAGTGCCAGTAGCTGTTTGAGCCAACTGTCTGCAAGTAACTTGTTGTTACTTATAGAATTACAAGTTCAATGTACGGTATACATAACAGCTCTGTATATGCAAGGGAGGCAAGATTAGGAATTACACTGGGTACTTCCATCAATTTCCTGCTGTATTACCTTTGATGTGACCAGATTTGCTTGCAGATGACACAGTCCATCAGGTGAGGATGGGGCGAGCAGGCAGTATATACCACACATGATTCATGGGTCACTGGTCATAAACCACTGGAATTTAAACCAGCATAAAATATATCTATAGAGCCAAACATAATTCACACTGTAAGGTACATGTAGGTCTGTCACTAAAGTATGTCAACGTTAACTCCCTTGGCATTCTTTCTTGAAAATTAACAGTCCTCTAAGGTCTCAGCTGTACTGAAAAGTACCTTTTTTTTTAACACATCCCTTGTTCTTTTACAGCAATACAAGTGTGGCACCTAGGGCCATGACGGGCACCCATCACCCAAATGTTAATTACAGGTGCCTGATGAGTGTGGTACCTAGGGCCTTGACGGGCACCCATCACCCAAATGTTAATTACAGGTGCCTGATTCCATTACATGTTTTATTACCCGAAATTGCATTTGTAAGTTTTGCAACATTTAAGAAAAGCAAACGCTCATCTCTATCCATTATATTAAATATCGTTTGGAAAAATCTGAGTAAAATATCTCCAGAGTCTATTTCCCATAATTTCCTGAGGTTTAAATAAAGAAGATGTGGTTTACTTTGTTGTGAACCTTGGCTAGAGAGATTCCCCGTGAGTCTATGACAAGTACTTGACAATACCTGACAGTGACAGCTAATGTGTGGTTGACATTATATCAAGTGCTTTGTTATAACACAAGTCAGTTAATTGAGTTAAATGGTCTAACTGCTTGCACTTATTCCCTGTACTCATTAGTTCATTTTTTTACTATTCCCCAAACTTAAATGTGTCTTAAGAGCTTCAGGTACACAACATGAAAGGAGTGCTTTTTGCATTTTGTCTCAAACTTCCGGAACGTTCCCAGTCCATTGGAATGTTTCCATTCAGAATGCTGGCGTTCCTTTGAAGCATGCCACGTCTCATTGGGAGCACTACCTTCCTCCTGCAGGAACATTTTGTTGGGAACACCGTGTTCCCAACAAAATGTTCACAGTCGGATGATGGCAGTCGGGCATACATTTGTTTATGTAGTAGAAAGCAGGAATACACAGCCTCATTACAATATTCTGAGTAAGATTTTGACTTTCTGACGGATTTTGCATCGTAAAAGGTATTTTACTTTTTTTTACTGAAGTCTTAGAACTGTTTGCAGCTGTAAAAATACAGTAGGTCCATGATGATGTACATGTACATGAAACCTAAAGAACTCATTTTAGGTGATGGGATTTTAACAAGAGAAATGCTTTTGTGTTGTGTGTTGTTAGTCTTGTCATCATTTCTCAAAAAACCCTCAACGACTCTATCCCTGCATGCATGACAATTTGCCGAACAAGGGTACTGATTAAGTTTTTAAGATTTTAGAACTTGGACTACTCAGATTAAGGCATGTAAAAGGTGAATAAAGCTTAACATAACATGCAACATTTTTAAAAAAATAACAACTTACATCATCAATTTTGTCAACATTCCCCCAAATAAACACACACCAGTAAACTCCATTGTAATTATGTTGAATACAGTGTTCCCGACTATTCCAGTGGACCATTTCAACAAAATAAATGTTCTAGCTGGAATGCCAGAGCATTCCAAATTTTGAGACATTCCTAAGGATTGTACATGTAGTAGTGTAATCGCTTCCTGTATCCATGATACACACTGATAAAGTCGGTGATACTAATTACCATCCACCAGACTTGTATGACTCAGACTCAGAATTGAGTCTGACTCGAGTCACATTTTTGTGACTTGGACTCAAGTCACTTTGACAAATGACTTGGACTCCCAGCTGCAGACTCAGACTCGGCCTGCATGGCTTGTAACTCAACAGAAATTACATCTTTTTTTTTTTTTACTGAGCCAAACCATAGACCTGGAGAAGAAAAAACAATGGACTGCCAACTCCAGCGGGCGCACATCGATCTTGAGTCAACCGGAAGTGCCGAAGTTACCGGCACAGACAACTTCCATGTTGCTGTTGTCCGTATGTTAAATTGTGCTGCATGTACATGATGTTGATCTTTCCTCCTCAAAATAGCATAAATTTCCAGGTAGTAATTGTGCAGTTGTTGGAAACAGTGCCTAAAGACACAGATAGTTGGTTGAATTTCTATGGTATACCAAAGAGGCCAGATCCAGACCCCCCAAAAAAGCGAAAAGACAAGGCGGAACAGAACGCGAGCGACAAGAATGGAGGCAACATAATACATGTACAGCATAGTTTCATGGGTGAGTTCATAAAATTTGAATATCAGTACATTAGGGTTTTAAGACCAAAGTAAAGTTCTTCTTCAGCTTAGTTGAAACATTGTCAGCTTATCATGTAGAAGTCATTTTAGTGCCAAAGAGTGTGGTGATGATATTAACATAGGCCTTAATTAATAAAAATACAATGTAAAAAATTAATAAGAAAATGACTTGATTTGCTTGTGGTCTGGTGCAGTATTCTTTTTCCCTTCACAGTAATTCTCCTTATATTTCATTTTGTGGTACTGCAGGTGCCAACTTAGCCTACCCACTGAATTTCTGCTCACATTATTACCGGTAGTTATTAATCCTGTTCCTGGTAAGTGCATTGAGATGGTTGGTTGAGTTGGTCGTTGACTTGAGTTTTCCTGTATTAAATGTTTGAAACTTGATTTCTTAAATTGCAATTTTAACAAGTTTCATTTTTTTCTTTGTTCTCATTTTCAAGCATTTTCTTGTGTCTGGCTCCATGTATCCATGGATGTTTTATCCATATTGCACTGCAATGCATGCTTTTCTGTTGATGTTCACATGTAAACCCTTCATGTTAACCCTGTAAACTTCTGTGTCTGCCTGTACAAAATGCCCTAGTTCTGAGCTATTCCGGTATAGTTTGGGTGGGGTTCATATGGCAGCAGCAAAAAATAAATTTTGAAGTAAGCAGGATGTTGTGTGTTTGAATCCTAGCCTGGCACACTGCGGAGTTTTTTTCTCAGGGAAGCACTGTTTAGTGTTAATAAAGTTATGTTGCATGAAAGAAATGACAAGCTTACTTTACATATATTGCAATTTCCTCATTTATTACATCTTACCTCCTTGAAAATTGAAATAGTTGATTTTGAAGAATGAAGATTTTAGGAGTCATTCTTTAATCCCTGATATTGATGCCACAGTCCAAGAGTCAAGCATTATGATGACTATTACACATTACACATTTCAAATGTGTCACATAATTTAGTACATGAATACCTGTAGAATTTTTAAGAACTCTGCTCTATTCCGCGTCTTTGGAGAGACCACTGTCCTAAGTAATGCCACCTAAATGTACATGAAACCCTTTCGTCAATTTGGACAAATTCAACCAAAAACGAAACAGGCATCATACAGGATGTTTCGATGAAACCTCAATTTTATTTGACAAATTGACTGAGAAAACTTTGAAACTTGAATATAATAAATGAGGTGCTTGAAAAAATACAATATTTGTATGTGTACATTGTAAATCTGTTTATTTACATTTTGTGATTTGGAATTTGATCAAATTACAAACCAATTTGAGTAATGTTCAGAAGTGCTTGCTTGCTCCTCTGGCCAAGGGAAGCCAGAAACTCGTCATTAATCTGCTTGAAAATTTATCAAGCTGATGTATCTTGTCTATTTTTTCCCCCAAACAATTCTGACTGCTTATAAAGATCTTATTACATACAGTTTGTAAAGTATGACATGTTCATGTACGAAGTCATTGGGGAAATTATGCTATGGGCCTTCATGTTTCCCATGCACTTTTCTAATATAAAACAATGCCCTTTTGAAATGTAAGTTTAAATCTCGTAGAAAAACACAAATTTGCAAAAAGGCCTAGAACTGAAAATATTGTTAAAAGACTTGAACCTGAACAGGGGAACATGTACTATTTTTCCCTTTGAAAAATCGAAACCAGATGAGTAATTATAACTCTGAAAATTACCTTACAAGTCAGAATAAAAGGTTTAATGTAGCTGGGTTAACCCAACCAGACTTGGCTGTTGGTGAGAGCTAACATCAGTACTCGAACATGTTTGCCGATTGTTATGATTGGTGCATGAGAAAAGAATACATGCACAGCTTTCCCTGTCTAAAGGCTCATTAATTGTCAATAATTCTCACGTCAGTATACTCATATCATCACAATGTCATAACAAACATGTATGTTGTCTATCTCGTCCGTTTTGCGATTTTTTTTCCATGAAAAAGTTCCGAGGCAAAATTACGAGCACAGTGCCAGTCGCTATTGTTCATCGCACATGAACAACGCTTCAAAGGTCAACCGGAAGTTTCCTGTGCCGGCAACTCCAGAGCTTGCGGCTGACAGAACATGTTTACACACAATGTGCCGTGCACCCGCTGGAGTTGGCAGTCCATTGTTTTTTCTTTTCCAGGTCTATAGCCAAACGGCACATGATCGGTGCACGCACGATTGCTGAGAAGCGGTTATGTACCGAAATACAACTGTATGCACCCCATCCAAACTTGATACCGCATTAATCCATGATGATCAGTATCAGACTATTCTTGTCGGACATAGACTGGAGCTCTGTCAAGCAAAAGCTCTAAATCACATGTATTGCTGTTCAAAGAATCTCAGTTGCAGCTGGTTATGGGTCTGACAATACGACGTCAGTAAGGTCTGTGTGTACATGTATGTGAAAGCACGAGGACTGGATGCATTTACATGTATTCCAAACGTAGTCAATTCAGGGTTTATCAGTTTTAAGAGAAATGCAAATGGAAGATCAAGCGCAGAATACAAATTCTGCAGGAGAAAAATAGAGGAAAATTTTTAAATTTCTGCAAAAGAGACTTTTGCAGAAATGAAACATTTGCAGAACCAAAAAATGATTTTCCAATACAATAATAAAGGTGACTCATCACTCAGACTTTGACTCGACCTCTGTAGCTTATGACGTGGACTCAACCTGGATGACTCAGGACTAGGACTCGAGAGGTGTGAGTCAGACTTGGACTTGATGTTTCATGACTCGATTACAAGTCTGCTATCAACACACCATCAACACACCGTCAACACCTCTAAAACACATTCTAATCTTGCAGTATTCAACTGTGAAGTATATGCCACTTTAAGAGGACTTTTGGCTAAACCACAAAAGCTTAGACTATTCAAAATTGCCATTTTCAGTTCAAAGAAATTGCCTCATTCGAAAAGATCCAAAAACAGCAGCCATATTGCCTCAGGGGCAACTTGGACCAAACCATTACACTAAAAGGGCAATTGTAAATCTTGCTGGCAGTGCATGACACTGAACAAGAACATTTGGGAACAAGTCTGATTGGGATTTCTCCTTTTTTCCCACAAAAGTCTTTGGTGAGGGTTTTGCTCATCCTATCGTTGTTACTATTGTGTATTGACGGTAATTAATAAGACCCAACATGCCAGATAAAGTTAGGACACATGTACACAGAGCTCAGGCTACTTGAAGTACTACTTTACGTGTAGTTGGCCTCATGAGTCCGACTCCTAGCATGGAGAAGGGAATACACCGCTAACCTGCCGACTGCAATATCATGACCGAATCGTTCAGAACCAAATGACGACGGAAATGAAGTCGTTCAAAACTCTTTTGAGTTACCCAAATTACTATATATACAACATACCTTAGGAGATGCAAGCAGTCAGAGTTCAAGCACACCGTCATGACCGTGGGAAATAGTAAGCACTACGACCGACACAGGGCAGTTCGACTGCACGGTGTCATTATGTTGAGTGTGTTTGATCGTCGAATTTGTTTGTTACTCCAGTAATGAAAAGATTTGCACTTGTCATACAGCTGCATGTATTGTACGGTGTTCGCAATGGTGCAATAGGTCAAACAAGCGAAAAGCACTTATTTTTTACTCAGGTTAATAAACTTGTTTTGGTGTTATTATTGGCATCGTTATGGTTTAACAAGCCGTTTGTGGTCAGGTGTCTCTTGGTTGAGTACAGATTAATATAGCGTAAAAACTTCTTAGATGGGCATTTTGTGGGTGTTTGTTTTGTTTTCTTTGAGGGCACCTGGAGACACTCGATATGGGGGCACCCCAGTGGCGAGACTGGCATAGGGTCCTCAGTAATATTCAAACGGTGCAAGGAATAGGCCTATGGCAAACGGAAACAAACACGTATCATGTCATCCTATTTAGGATCGAAACGCATGATATCAGTGATTAAAGAAGCTGGAACGACCTGTTATTAAATAAGACAAGCGGTTGATCTGTCATATTAACCTTGCAACACGAATCTTGCATACTTAAAACTAATGCTACTCCAGCAAGTCAAAGTGCAAACGCTTCAGTAAAGAGGCATTTGTGTCGAATCTGATCTTGCTATATTTTCTTTAAAGAAGAGTAATTTCATACGACAGACTGGCCACAAGCTTGCTACTACGGATATTGGAACGGATGCTAGCATGGCTACGGATGTACGCACTAAACACCACCAAGAAAAACATTCACATCCGATGACTGAAGTTTCTGATCACATTTATATTTTCAACATTACAGGAAAGTGGCCTCTACTAATTTTGGAAATCTACCGCCGTCTCATACCACTATTATGCTAGAAGAAATCAATTACATAAATAAATCATACCAATTAAATTGAAACATAGAGGGCTGTGTCGGTCAGAAATAGAAACGCACAGGGCATTAAAGTTTTGATTTGATCACAATATGGTTGAAGGAAAGAGGGAAATGGCGATACCCCGGCTTTTTCATATTGCCCATTGTAATTTCAACCAGACACAAACACAATCGCATGTCAGGGGCAACTCGTGGGCGAACGTAAACAAATACAAAAGGTGCAATGTTCCGTGTTGACAACTGGCAAGAGCTTGATGGTGTAAAAATAAAATCTTTGAGGCTGGCTACCGAAAGCGCTGTCAACTTGAAACATTCTCAAAGAGAATGTCAATCTGCTTGATTATGCTTGACTCAGAAGCATAAAATACTGTTTAAAAGGCGTCAGAGATACAATCAGCTAAATTGAACTGTCAAACTTTGTCACTGGGTACCCGTTTGGAAGGGTCCTTGTGATTGGTCGGTGGTTGAAAATCACTACACATATCAAATAAATAGTTATCGGTATACGCGCAGAAGGGAACCAGACGATTTGTCATAAATGCTGGTGTGTGACATATACTGAGCTGAGTGAACAGAGCGCTGTCGTGAGCACCTCACCAGCCGCTAGACCACCGACTGCAATCCTTGCCTGATTGTCCTGGCTCGGCCAGCTGCTCACTCCCAACATACAGAGTCAGCCGAGTGAGGCAGGTAAGGTTAACATCATGGCTGGTTTTTCAAGGGCCAGTCTTTATTCCAGGCTTGTCGTTGCTGCTTCGGTGGCCTGCTTGGCCAGTTTCTACTGCAGTTTGGTGGGCAGCGCCATGGTTCCTGCGAATGCACAGACACTCATGGGAGGACAGCGGGGGGACGGTGACCCCTCACCGCCACTTGCCCATGTAGACAGCCACACACCCCACCGCAAAGGCTTGAAACACCCGCAGTGGGAATCAGATTCTAAGTTTTCATCGTCAAAAATCGCAATAGACAATAACCACCCCACCATGCAACATTTTACAAAAACCAAAGATGCAGAAGTGAGTGATTACAACCAAAGAATAAACATGGACGGATCAAGTACGAGAGAAAACCGTATTCTCCTTGACGACTCGTTGATGGTACGGGAAGAGGAGCAGCCAATTCGGTCGCGGGTCGCGCGAGCTGCTGCCGAGTCAGTTCCAGTTGCCAGTTCGAAATTCCTAGAAAAAACTGTGGAGAGTTTCAACAACTTTGAGGGGTCCGGTTCTGACCAGCCATCCCAGGATGATGTCCAAAAAGGTATGGTGGAGGAGCCTTCTGCAGAGACGCGGCTCGGGGTAGACAACGCCGATTGCCCTGAGTGTCTCCGCAGGAAACAGGAAATGAAGAAACTTCCCCCGGAGAAGCTCCGTCAGATGCGTCTGGAGCAGATTAAGAAAAGAATTCTGAGCAAACTGAAAATGGATCAAGCCCCGAATATCAGCGCTAGTAGTGTGGACATACCAGAGCCCTTGGCCCGGGGACGGATGGTGGAAAATAACAACGACGTCTCAGGGATGGTCGACCAAGAAGATTCTTATTTGGAAGATGACAGATGGGAGGAGGAAGAACTAAACGAAATTGAGGAGAATTATCAGGACACCAGTCAAGTCATCGTCACTGCTCAAGAAGGTATGTATTACAAATCAGGCATTTCTTTGTAGATCATTTACGCACATGTTACATGCACTCTCTGATTTCAAAAAGAGCAGTCACCGAAACAGATCTGTTCAACCCTGGAAGATTTTGATATAATTATAGGTATTCGTCTCAAAATTTACAGGCCACCTAACATAGTAAAATCTGACCTAAGGTCATCCGGTTTTAGGTGAGATACTACTGTAGTACTGCTATTATTACAAACGTGACTCCCACACACTTCGCGGGAGAAATTCCATTCTCGAACGTCTTTCATGAAATGTTTTGACAAACAAGCGTGCCTATGTCAAAATGAAAAATAAATGCACAGTGAATACAACTACTTGTAACCTTTGAACTCACTGTCTGAATATCAGACACCATTGTTGTCTGAACAAACTTCTGATTTGTGTCGTTGAGCTCCTATCACCTATTTAAAAGCAAAGAAAAAATCCAATGCGAATTCACAGTGGTAACTGCGAGTTTATTTAATCTGAGGGAGCAAAGACCAGCTGAGCTTGAAAGATCGTTGGTGGGGTATTCCGGCATTGTTTCAAATGAATTTTGGACCCTAGGGACACGTGCCATTATGTGGCAACGTCCTTACACTAGACGCGTTGGAATGGAAATTTTGCAAGTCCATTTAATATACAGTAGATTTTATTCGTGTTTAACTACTATCAACGATTGTCCCATTATCAGTCTCGTTTGGCAATCAACACGTCGCAAATAATTAAAATAGTGGGTTTTATCGGTGTAATAGTTTAAGAGTCTATTGGGAAAAGGTAAAACAACATTTATGAGGTTTGGCTGCCAATTATTTTGGTCTATGTAATTGTCTAATATGTAAATCATCTTTGAAACTTACCAACGTTCCAATGCTACTTGATAGTACACAGATGTTGTGCAATGCACAGTTCACAATGTGGCCTACACAAATAGTTCGTGTAATCACTAGCTTGTTGGATCTGCAAAGGATCGACTTGGGATTTAGATTTTCCAAATGGGTTTGTATAAACACAAGCAGGCCGACGCAAGAGTTGATGTAAATATCGGCCTATCTCAACCCACAAAAAGAAGAAAAGGAAAAAATCATGAGATGAAGTCAGCACTGGAATTGATATACTGTACACGTACATGCAGCGCTGTTTCAGTGACGCATTTCCAAATCCAACGGAATTAGAAACCTGAGGTTCTTTTTTTCACCGAAATGTTAAACGACCTCGGACTGAAAGCAATAATGTCACACCAACACATCTCAACGAAACGATTGGCGACGTCTGAACACTCCAGTAGCTCTTGTCAAATTAATGTATCAAATGAAGGGGAAGCAGGCCGACGTTGGGTTGTCGCGACATAAATATATAATGCATGTATACAAAAGTAAATATGCAACACAGAACCTGTCAGCAGTTTGTTAATCGAGTTGGTAAAAATCTATACTTAAATAACTAGTATTTACTTGTACTTTACCATTTTTTACAGAAGTAATGTGGGAATAAATATTTTTCAGTGTCCAATTTCTAAATGTCAAGTATGTCTTACCATAACATATTATAAAAATGGCTTTAACACCACAAAGAGACTATGTAAAGGGATGGGAGGGTCACTCAAAAGTTTGTTTGCCACACTTCCTCGACTAAACTCCATTCCTCCTCGGAGCCTCAAAATAACAATTAGGTTTTGTTTAATAATTTGGTTCCCTGCAGTACCCATGTACATTTTTCAAATTTCACATTGATGTTTGAATGAAAATTACACACATTTGCATTTAATTTCAGGTAGTGAACTCGCAAAAATTAAAAAAGGGTCAACAGTGTCTTTCGTAAATTGATCGAAGTTGATATTTATTGTAATCTGTTTAACTATAGGCCTAAACGTGTGTGTCTAAGTACCACTTCCACGTCCCTTCGGATCATAATGCATATCGGTCACTAGAAATCTGTGGCCATCAGTTTCAGAACAAAACACGGATGCCTTTGTAGTATAAGCCTGGGGAGAATCAAAAATTTTACCAAGTGATGATCTTAAATCGGGTAAAAACTCTTTTGAAGAGGTGACTCGAAAATTGTGAATGGTCGTCTTCCCTGTCCATTTTGATTGACACTTTCGTCTCATAAAAACCTGTGCGGGTAACATCTGCGCAGAAAAGGAAGACGATGTGCGGGCCAAGGTTTCTTTAAGCATCACTATGACTGTGCGTTCGACACCTCATGCTGAAGTTACTCCACGTCGACCTTCGGCATCATTGAGTGCGTTTAATATTAAGGTCGGGATTCCGCAAGGTTCACAGCTCCCCCTGCGCAGAGCTCAGAAGTTTGACTGGGGCTATCACTAGGGAAACGTCGAGTTCATGCGCTTAAGTGATGTCACAGAATGTCATAGACATGATTGATGAAACTCGCACTTTACATGGACCAATTCAACTGAATCAAGCCTGTAACGGTTTTAAGTTGCACACTCTACGTACGCTGACTGTTATCCACTCACTTTTAACTTTCAATAGAGCACTGTCGAGGCACTGTGCAGGCCTACGTTTCAAGCACTTTTCAAGTACTTGTTTTGAAATACTGTTAAAAGGAAGTTCACATTGACATTACTCTGCTCTAAATTACATTATTTTGCACATGGACCATGGATTACGGGAAACACTTTTAACTCTACACAAATTTAACATCCTCGGGAACCCGAAAGGACTAGCCCAGTGCTATTGATACCAAGGAGTAATAACAGTTTGACACCAAGGTTTGTGCAGCGAACGATTTCTATTGCAGGTTTAAAATTACGTTTCGACAGTTTTTTTTTGTATTTGGTTTCATTGTGCGGCACCCTCTGTTAATACAAACGTAGATCTTGTTGAGGTTAATCCGTCCTTCTAAAAAAAATGGGTTTCTGACTGTTGATTATTTGAAAAAAAAATTTTTTACTGTGCACTCATAATTCACTTATATATTATCCTGTATTTCGCTCCAAAAATTGATTTTAGCAAGCAAACAATCTTGCTATCACTTTGTAAACACGTTTAGGTGTGATGCCCAGTGGCTTAAGACTCTATGTCTCGCTAAACTTAGCATTTGAACATGTTTACAAACTGATAGCGAGAAAGTGTTTATTGGCAGAACACGGTTTGCAATATGTTACTTCAGTATGTGGGTCTCGAGGGCCGACAGACGATCCCTTTAATGAAGGTTAATTAAAAGTCTGTAGACCTGCTGAGGACAGATCATTGAAAAGTATCCGTTCCACGAAATACCCCCCTCACCGGCAAAAGAGCAGAGAGGCTGGTGCGCTTTGTTTTCAACGGGCGCCCGGTGCGTAAGCGAAGAACGTATACCTTTTCACTGACAGTGCTCAGTATAGCTATGGCATACGTATGCATGACATATCAACAACAACAAAGGTATTGTTAGGCCATCTAGGCACTTATTAGATTGCTTTATACAGCTTCTGAATAAATATCCCCGTCCAAACGAGGTTGCCTGACACCTCAATCTTCACTATAACCTTTATGTTCCGGACGTGTCAACCCCAACATCGTTGCCATGGATACGATTTTGCCGCGCCATGTTGGTTCCCACCATCCTTGCGCGATCTAACGCCTGGTATAGTATAATAAGCCATTTGCGAGTTAAATTTGAAAAAAAATCTGGTACACTGAGTTATTTAGAATCGGCCGTATTAGAAGCCATTACTGGGGCGCTAACCTGTTCGCATCCAAGTGGTGCAGCGTTTACATCCCTCTCTGACTGGACTTGTCCCCGTCCCTATTGTACAGGGACCGGCAACTGGCTGGCTTTCTGTGTCCGTGGTTTGTTTAGCTCTATGCATGCGCAATTGCTTTCCCTATAGGTTATAGAGATGAAGTTTACAAACAACCTTTCCTGGGCATGACAGCCAAACACAATATGAGAGCATTCTTAAGACAAATGACTGCTTTGGTTTCAAATAACAATACAACCTTTTCCCAATGACAGCTTCCATTCCGGATACATAATACCCATCACGCGTCCATACATCTAGAAATTCTTCCAAAGTTTTATCACGTGACAGTTGCATTTTGGAATTGTTGTATGCTAATTTACTCATTAACATAAAACCGGCAGGATTCCTCTGGATTCATTACCCGCTACCGGTCCCAGTGTTCGGAGGACGTCTGTAAGACGTCTGGAGACAACGTACGGGACGGGCACCAGTCTACTCTCCGACTAATAGGATATCGCAACTTTGTTACCCTGGGTACGATCTTGGCGCGCCATGTTTGTTCCCACCAGCCTTGCGAGTACAGACACGCGCACGCAGTCCATGGAGTCGAGGTTGAGAGTGTGGTGGCCCATCGATCTCCATTATAAAGATACATGGACAGAGACGAGATATGGCAAATATGGAAAACATCCTATTAGTTTTTGGGGCAATTCAACAAAAATCTCTAGGCCTAAAAGTAAATCAAGTGAATGTATGCATGCAGTGCATCTTAAAACCCCCCTGAAGCGCAGTGCGCCCACCATTGTTCAGCTGTGCATTTTGTGCACATACAATGCGCGATGTCCTATCCAGTCTTTATAATTGAGATCAATGGTGATGACCATTGACATCCATAATGGAGATCAATGGTCGCGGCCATAGAACCATAGTAAAGCTGGAAGTGATTGGCCTATTACTTTTACGTTACGGCGCGACATTATGTTCGATTACGTTAACACTCACGCGCTTAACGCGCTCACGCGGTTCAGTCCATAATTTTCTCCGCGCATGAAGCTTCTTTTCTAACGTCATCAATAGAGTACCCAAGTCTGACGTCACTGTGAGCCAGAAAGTGCAGTGCAAACAAATGAAGTACGCGCGCGTGTTGGTTCACGCTGGTTCACGCGCTAATGCCTTTTACACACTAATGTGCGTGTGACGTATTCACTTCGGTACTCTATACAGGCGTTTCACAATAGTGCGCCCCAAGGGTTTGCAACGCGTTGGCCAATCACAATGCGCGAAAGCTGCCG